ACCAAACCCTCACGCAGTTTAGGGTTTAGGCGCTATACATGTGGAAGACTTGAAAAGATCAGTAGGGAGTCCGGATCTAGTGTTGGGCATGTGCTGGTTGCTACACGATAAAGTCACAACCTGCACCCTGCAATATTATAAGCCGTACACCGAGGCTTGACAAGTTAAGTACTCGACATTAGATAGCCCCACCGCGATCACGATGCACTTGAAGGATTTGGTTCTGATGCTCCTTAGTAAGGAAAGGTCCTAAGGTGGTGTTCTAGTCGCACTGGTCCAGTGACGATCCAGCTTGACCTTCATTATGCAGCCACGGACATAGGACATTGGACACATTGTCACGACTGCCGCGACCTGAAGCTTGAAAGGAGGATGGGCTAAGTAATGGACCCCCGAGCTTGGAATTCCATAATTGGCTAACACCGATCAGCTATGCTACAGTCCACATCCCGGCATAAGCTTGCATTTGTGCATATAAGCAGAGATGCCGAGCATGCTCCCCCAAAGTAGTCGCCAGATTCGAGCTCGTAGGATGATCCTGGGCTTGGGTTTGCTCCCTTAAGCCTAAGGTTGAGGGTTCAGGGTTGGGTTGAGAAGTGTTTAAGGGTAGGGTTCGGGGCTTCTGTTAAAATTTGATGTTTGTAATCATATATAGCGAGGTGTCCAACGTTATCAGGAATCAGAAGCTTTCCTCGGACTTACGACCCGCACTCCCGATCCACCCGCCTACAGAAGCTTAAACTTAAACCCTACTAATCTCGCCTGAACTCAACAAAAGACAGACACTGAACATTGCAACAGAGGACTCAAAACAATAATAATACACACAGGAACCCAGGCCTCGATCCACTTACTATATGCCTTACACCGCAACCCCTCAACACAAAGCCTTCGATGTGCAGGCCAGATGGACGATTGATGGATTGACTGCTCTATGGCAGTGCAAAAGATCGTGTGGCCATTCAATGGCCAAGGGCATGCATATGAGCATGTGCGATCTCTGTGTACATGTGCGTGGCTAGCGATGGACCAAGCTGTGCCGAAGTTCTGATGTTGCACATATATGGGTTGGTGCCGAGGGTTTCTGCCATAACATATGGCAATACATTGTTCATAAATAGTCTATACACATATATAGTATGTGTATGTTTAGATATCAATATATTTACACATATAGATCTAGATATACATATGGATATAGATATAGATATAGATGTAGATATGTGTATATACATATTGAATATATACATATACACACACACACACATATATATACATATATATATATATATAGAGCTAGCCTAGTTCTAGTACATTACTATTTAAATTTTAGGGCTTGGAGGGAAATAGAGCGTTACTGGGCGATATTTGCCGTTAGAAGTTGCCGTGGGGACAAACTTTAGCGATACTGGCCGTTAGTGGCCGTTAGTGGGGTAGGTTGCTGGATTCTGATCTAGGGCGACAGGGCGTTACTGGGCGATATTTGCCGTTAGAAGTTGCCGCGGGGACAAACTTTAGCGATACTGGCCGTTAGTGGCCGTTACTGGGCTAGCTTGCTAGATTGTAATCTATAGGGCTTGGAGGCATGAGGGCGTTACTGGGCGATATTTGCCGTTAGAAGTTGCCGCGGGGACAAACTTTAGCGATACTGGCCGTTAGTGGCCGTTACTGTTTGGCTTTTGTACGTGTCTGGTGAGAAACTTCAACATGCCGTTCAGGAGCGATTTCAAGAAATCACATGTCCAATAGGAAGAGTTAATGTAGGGCCGAGGAATTGTTTGTACATATGGCATCTTCCTCTCGAAGGTCCCCCTAGTTTCAGGAAACAGTTGCCGAGTTGATCGAATGGAAAAGAGGAGCTGCTGAGAGGCTGCTGGGAACACCTGGAGGCTGGGAGTCTTCAGGTGGTAGCGGAGCGCTGAGTGGCCACTTCGACGTGAAGGAGGCCAGGACGCGCACAGTCTCCGTGGACATTCGAGGCACATGGCTGCTGCGACCAGAGATGACGGGCCGAAGCTTGAGCGCTTTGACGGCACGCAACCTGCCACATATAGACGATGGAGGCGGAAAGCTGAGCTGATGCTGATGGCGCTACCAAATACGTACTCGAAGGAGAAGTGGGGTGCAAAGCTAATGGAGCTACTGTCTGGGGAAGCAGAGGAGGTCTGCGAGACCATACCAGTAGAGAAGCTCATCAAAGAAGGTGGGCATGAGCTGGTCCTGAAGGCCCTAGACGATAAGTACCAAGAGCTGGAGAAAGATGCGCTTCATAAGCACTTAACTGAGTACTTCTATGGCGTGAGCATCAAGGGCGGCGAGACGTACCGGAACCTGATGGTGCGACTGGAAACGAGTTACCGAAGGCTCCAGGAGCACAAAGTCGAACTTCCAGAAGAAGTGAGAGGATGGTTTCTGCTGCGCAAGTTGGGAGTTGAAGCCACGGCCGAAGCGATGATCCTGACTCATACGAAGGGATCTTTGAAATATCCAGAAGTTAGCAAGGCTGTGCAGGACATCTTCCCACAAGGGTTTGCCAAGAACACGTCGAGCAAGGTCAAGGAAGTCTTCGAGGTGGACAACGACACCGAGGCGGCTACCACGACGGAAGAGGACGACGTGAACGAGGTGTACCAGGCGGTGGCAGATCAAGTGCAGAACAACCCGGAGTATGATGACGAGGACGCACTTGACGTCTTTGAGACTTACAAGGAAGTGCGGAAGCAGGTTCAGCAACGTAAATTGGGTCGCGGCTACAAGCCGTACGGCCAACGACCGGAGTGGACGTTGACTGGAACAGTGAAAGGGCGCATCGAGCAATTGAAGATGAAGACGAAGTGCCATGGCTGTGGCGAGCGAGGACACTGGAAGAAAGAGTGCCCAAAAAGGAAGTCCGCAGGCAGTGGCACAGTCAAGGAAGCGATGGTCGCTGACGAGTTCCAGGACACGGCGAAGAGCCTCGAGCAGGAGTTTTTCTTAGATGAGGAGAACATCGACCAGCTGGAGGTGTTCCTAGCCGAACAAGATGGCCAACTCGACGTGGTGGTGGCCTCAAAGGGCGAAAGCTTGAACGATGATGGAGAAGTGAGGGGGGACTTTGAGCAAGGGCTCATGAAGTTTTTTTCCATGGCGCATGACTCAGACGCCAAGTCGAGCGAGGCATACATGGCTGATCTCGCGAGTCACGGGGTTCCAGACACTGCTTGCAGGAGGACTCTGATAGGTGAGTCGGTGTTAAGTAAGATGTCTGATGTGCTTTCTGAGTCAGGGCTGAGGGTTCGTGAGATTGACGAGGAGCATGAGTTTCGTTTCGGTAATGCTGGGGTGCTTCGTACCACGAAAACAGCCTTGATTCCGATCAGTTTGGGCGGCAAGCGGCTAGCAATTAAGGCAGCCGTGTTGCCACAATCTGGTGCACAGACGCCACTGCTTCTCTCTAAAGAACTTATGAGAGGGTTGAAGGCTAAGATAGATTTGGAGAATGATCGGTTGGTGGTTGGTAAGTATGGGGTTGTGATACCTTTGAAAGAGACTGATCGGGGCCACTATGCACTACCGCTTTTCGAGGGCTTCAAGAAGCACAAGGACCAAGAGGGCGTGAGCACGACCGTTTCTACGAAGCATGCACAGACGCTTGAGGTGAATGCCGTGGAGAACAAGAGTGTTCAAGCCTTCCGTTCCTTAGTTGCCCCCAAGGTAGAGTGGCCTGGCAATGAGCTACACCATCCAGGAGGACGACGTGCCGATGATCTCCGAGCTCGTCGTGAAGACGCCCCTGGTGGAGAGGCTTGTGGCCGACCTAGCGCCACAGCTACAGGGAGGAACGGAGTCAGCGACGCTGGCTGCGACGATCTTAGACGCAGCGTCAGATCACAGCGACGACGAGCCAGAAGGGCTCGTCAGCGGGCTCTCAGGCGATCTGGTGCTGAATGTGGGGAAGTACGAGAAGCTGAAGATGGCAATGAAGTTCAGCACAGCGTACTGCAGCGACAAGAAGTACATCGCCTGGGTCAGGAAGTTCATAAAGGACAAGGAGTCGAAGTCAGGAAAGTCGGAAAACCATCCGACAATGGGGCTCTTTCGTCTCTACATCGAGCTTCGCGATCAGGTGAAGAGCCGCCGCATTCGGACATCAGCGGCACCGAGGCGCAGTCCTATGGCGGGCTATGCAAGCAGCAGTCAGGCGCCACTGATGCCGACGACCGGGCCAATGTCAAAGGCCAAAAGCAAGAGCCGATCGGCACCGACACCAGCAACGTCACAGCACGAGTGGTCGACGGCAATGCCGCAGAGCGAGTGGTTGGTGATGCCGAGTGCCGAGCCGGAGCCAGTGGATGCAGCCCAGGCACGGCGCATGAAGATTCAGCAGAAGATCGAGGCACTCACCCACGAGCTCGAGGCCTTGGACGAGCTAGCGGACCTGTGATCGAGGACAATGTCGTCGAGAACACTATGACCAAGGCTGAAAGGAAACTGTGCAGGCGTGGAGTTGCCATTTGCAGCCAGAAGCCAGAGGTGGAGAGCCACGTGGAGAGTGGCATCGACGTTATGTTTCTGGAGGCTAATGCAGACGGGCAGTCTATCTTCACGGCAGTGGGCTTTCAATGCCAGAGTATTTTCGATGTACTGACGCCAGAGGATGTGCGAAGCAGTGCAAAACAGCAGCGAGCTCTAGAGTGCGTGAGGAGATTTAGGCCTAAGATGCTGATTGTGCGTACTCCTGCTCACATGACCAAGACTGTAGGAGGCCCCCACATGTGTAGGACGTTCACGGGTAGGCAGCGAGCTGCTTTCACCAGGTTTGTCACTGCATGTTGTGGAGAACAGTTGTGTGAAGGACGTTTGTTTTGCATTGAGGTCGAAAACGAAGCCATGTCCGATCGAGTGAATGCGTGGCATCGAGTGAGAGATGATGTGGGCACCATGTGTGTTGAGAGAGTGAGCGAAGAGAGCGTGTGGCACATGTTCACGAACTGCAAGAGTGTGGCTGAGCGAAGTAGAAAGAGCTGGATCAATGTGGGCGAGCTTAAGGACCCGAGGTGCTTTCAGAAGGATGTGTGCGCTGGACTGCTGGAACATGATCGTGCACGTGATGATGTGTTTGTTGCGCATTGTGTGTACAGTGTTGAGAGCTTGAGAGGTGCTGATGATGACAACGAACGCAAGATCATGGTGATGCTGAGGCGGTGTCATGAAAACCTGGGCCATCCTTCGGTTGCTAGGATGACGATGCTTCTGAGGGCTGCTCATGCTAGTGAAAAGGTGATTAAGCTGGCAAAAGGGCTGACATGTGAAACATGTAAGGAGCTTAGCAAGCCGAAGAGTCATCATGTGTCCAAGGTTCGCCGAGCAGTTGAGTTTAATCAGCAGCTATGCGTGGACACGTTCGAACTGGAGGTGCGGGACAGCAAGCTTCACTTCTTGAACATCGTGGATGAAGGAACAGGGTTTCAGATGTGTGTGCCACTATGGAAAGGGATGCAGGCCAAGCACATTCGGAACGCATACAGGAAGAGTTGGAAGCGTTGGGCCGGGGCTCCCGTAAGACTGTTCTGTGATGGTGGAAAGGAGTTTGAAGGCGAGTTTGAGCATGGTTGTTCGTTGGACGGCACGTTTCTTGACACGTCAGCTGCGTATTCGCCTTGGCAAAATGGCTTGTGTGAGAAGAAAGGTGATATCTGGAAGACTGCGTTCGCGAAGGCGCAGCTCGAGACACGGCCAAGGGCCAAAGTTGAAGTGCAGGAGTTGGTTGATTGCGTGAATAATGCTGTCAATTCCATGACGAGGAAGGACGGCTTTGCTCCAAATCAGCATGTCTTTGGCAAGGATGTGCGGTTGCCGGGCATGTTGTCGGATGAGCATGATCCTGTCATGAACTCAGCGTTGGTGCAAGGTGAGTCGCTTTTTGAGAGACGTATGGAGTTGCGTGTTGCCGCGCGGCGTGCGTTTCTTGAGGCCGATGGCGAGATGCGGTTGAGGCGTGCAATGGAACACCGGACTCGGCCGGAACGCGGGCCTTTCGAAGAAGGCGATCTCGCTTTCTTCTGGAGAAAGAATCGCTTCGATCAGAAGCATCATTGGCATGGGCCAGGTGTTGTCATTGGCAAGAGCGGCGGGTCAAAAGTGTGGATAGCTCGAGGAACGAAAGTGTACCGGTGTGCACCAGAGCAACTGAGAAAGCTGAGTGCCGAGCAGGAGGCAATGGTTCGCTTGCTCCCTGTTGACATGGTGCGTGTGCGTGATGTTGTCAGTGCAAGAGGTGCAGGAAACTACTTGGACTTGAGCATGTTGCCCAACCCTCCTGATACGGAGGAGCCAACAGATGAGCAAATTGGTGAACAACCAGACTTGATGGCAGCGGCAGGCGTAGGTGACATTGTGCGTGAAGGCAATTCTCAGGAGCAGTCGATGGAGGATGAGAGTGAGAATGTGCAGGCAGCACAAGCAGAGGTGCAGCATGGTCATGATCGTGAGGCAGAGGCCTCACCTACAAAAAGAGCGAGAACTGGAGATGCGAGCGCTCCAACACCTTTAGTGCAGGCGATGAGGATGAACCCCTTATTGCTTGATACAGGACGAGGTGTTGCGTCGAGTAGTGCAAGCAATCTTGAGCGTGTCCAAGATATTCCAGTGCCCGTGAATGACATGAGCGAGGATGACTTGGAGGTGCATTCCGTTGACAATGATCACTGGCTTGTTGATCATGGTCGAGCAAGGCTGATACGAATGCATGTCATTGAGCGTTCGCGGGAATTCTGTCCAAGCGAAGCTGAGTTGCCTGTAAAGATGGAGTGCATTGAGCCCACGTGCACAAGCGTGAAATACTTGCGTCTTGGCACCAAGCTGGTGCGAGAGTATGAGTGGAACGACAAGGAGTTGAGCCACAAGTCCGTGGGCTTGTGGACCGGAAAAACAGAGTTCACACTCAAGAAGGGGTGGTCATGGAAAGAAAGCAAGGCACCAGAATGTATGGAAGTGTCAACTAAGAAAGGCAGAAAGGAGATCGACGAGAAGGACGTTCCTACGGATCGACGAGAAGGTCTTCGAGCAGCCAAGGCAAAGGAGTGGAATAAGCTTGTGTCGAGTGGTGCAATCGTTGTGCATACCGGAAGTGAAGCAGAAAAGATACGGAAGAATACCCCTCGTCAGAGGTTCCTGAAGTCACGCTTCGTGATTACCGAGGCAGAGGAGGGAACATCACCACAGACAGCTGATCTAAAGGCAAGGTGGTGTATCAGGGGTTATCTGGATCCGGATTTGCTGGAGCTTGATACGAGTTCGCCAACGTTATCATCAGAAGGGCTAGCCCTAACGTTGCAGTTGTTGGCGTCGAACAATTGGCGCTTGAAAATTGCAGATGTTGAGGGAGCGTTCCTGCGTGGAGACAATTTGGAGCCAAGTCGCGGCAAGTTGTACATTGACGTGCCACCTGGTGGCGTGGATGGACTGGAGAGCGGATGCGTTGTCGAGGCAGTGAAGACAGTGTACGGTCTTGCAGACGCTCCAAAGGCATGGTGGCAATGCTTTAGCAAGAAGCTGGTGTCTCTTGGCCTTAAAGTGTCTAAGTTCGATCCTTGTGTGTTCTTGTACCATCATAATCATAAACTTGCTGGAGTCGTGGCTTTGCATGTTGATGATTTGTGCATGGGAGGGAGTCAGGTCTTTGAGGAAAAGGTTCTTGGACCCTTGCGCGAGATGTTCCCTTTTAAACACTGGAAGGAAGGCGAAGGACAGTTTCTAGGCAAATTTCTGAGACAGGAAACTGATGGTGGCATTCTCATAACTCAACATGAGTATGCTGAGCAGATGCAAGCGATGCAGATCACTCGTGAAAGAAGGAGAGCCAAGGACGAGACTGTGACTGAAGAAGAGAGAAGACAGATGAGAGGAGTTCTTGGAGGGTTGAATTGGTTAGTGACAGGTAGCAGGCCGGACCTTGCTGCATGGAGTTCACTGTTGCAGCAGCGTGTCAACTGTGCTGTTGTGAATGACCTTATTGAGCTGAATAAGCTTGTGAGCATGGCTCATGATGGCAGAGAAGCTCATATCTGGGTCAAGCCGATACCAATGGAGCAGGTACAGTTTGTAGTGCTGACTGACGCAGCATGGGCAAATGGCAAGGACTGCTGTAGCCAAGCTGGATACATGATTGCTGCCTGTGATCACCGACTACCAGCTGGTGAATGGGGCGAATTCTCAGTTATGAGATGGAAGTCATACAAGCAGGACAGGCAGACGCACTCTACATTGGGTGCTGAACTGCTTTCTCTTTCTAGAGGCCTTGCTGAGGCTCGATGGATGCGGTCAATGTGGTGCGAAGCTCTACATGACGAGTACGAGCTGAGAAGTGACTTCACGTGGAGCACAAAGATTCCCATCACAGCTGTGATAGACTGCAAACCTGTGTACGACCATGCTCACAGCGCTACTGTGGCTATCAAGGACAAGCGGATGGCGATAGAAATGCTTCTGCTAAAGGAGGACGTCGGCAAGTACAATGTGCAGTTGAAATGGATGGCAACAAAGCAGATGATCGTAGATGTGCTGACAAAGCGAGGTGCCCCGATGAATCTGTTTCGAAAGGTTGTTAGGGACGGTTGGTTCGTTTTGGTGGAAGATGAAGCAGTGGCTCAGGCGTCTTCAAAGAAGATGCCAGTGCTTGGACATGTTAGCTCCGGGGTGTGAGAAACTTCAACATGCCGTTCAGGAGCGATTTCAAGAAATCACATGTCCAATAGGAAGAGTTAATGTAGGGCCGAGGAATTGTTTGTACATATGGCATCTTCCTCTCGAAGGTCCCCCTAGTTTCAGGAAACAGTTGCCGAGTTGATCGAATGGAAAAGAGGAGCTGCTGAGAGGCTGCTGGGAACACCTGGAGGCTGGGAGTCTTCATCTGGGCTATATAGATCATATGTATTAAGATATATAAATATGTATATGCATGTATATATAGTATGTGTACATAAAGGTACAGAATGCAAGGTACTTCTTCTCTCTCTCTCTCTATATATATATAGATAGATATATACATGCATACATATACATACCTACATATGCACATACATACATGCATACATACACACGTACATACACGTACAACACATGTGTATACATATATATATATATACACATTCATATATATATATATATATAAACATATATGTACATAATGGCCTATGCATGTATATTCTTAAGTTATAATTCTGGTACCACTGATGGCTTATTGTTGTACATATATAGGAGGTCCTTAACCTCAACCTTGCACATCAGCTGGCATTGCTTGGTTAGAGCTGTCGAGTGACCTGAAATTCGAAGCTAGCTAGCTACAGCAGCTGCTGGCCATGGCGGCAAATTCTGCCGTTCAGAAGGCCACTTATAATTATAACCAGCTAGGTTATGTCATGACCCGATCCCGCCACGATGCTA